CGGGGACTCCCTCCACCCTGCCCCCTCCCTTGCCTCCTTCAAGATCTATCTCAAGACCCTCCTGTTCATTTGTGCCTTCAGTCACCCTCCTACCCTACTCTCCACCCTTCCTGATTCCAACCACCAGCTCGGGTCCAAATCCCTGACTGTCCAGTGCCTTAGGACACCCTCCTGACGTGAAAGGCGCTATACAAATGTAATTTTTGTTGTTGTTGTATTCCGGTATCTGTCTCCTCCTCAATAGGGAATGTCTGTTGTACTCTTTGTGATATTGAGGAGAGAGATACTTAAACTTGCCCTCTCCACATACAGCCTTGCCTCTGTCACCTCTCTAGCGTCTGATCTAACCTGATATACACTGATATACCTGATATACATATGAGAAATATGTGGATTATTGCTTCTTGCCCTTTGAACCAAACCATACCAAGTTTAAAGGGGCATTGTACTTTTTTTTCTTTTTGGCAAACATAAAGTTTTTTGTCAGAAATTAAAGGGAACATCGGAAAGTCCAGACCTGTTTGAGCCACCAAAACCCGATTATTCCTCCTTATATTTGCCCTTTTTATGCTCTAAGAACCCATAATAACAATAATAATCCTTGCATTTGATATAGCCCCTTATCAGGTCTTCGAGACGTCTCAAAGCGCTTCACAGAATATACTATAAAGTGAATAGACTGTATATTTTGTGGGCGAAACGCGGCAGCTAATAGCGCACAGCAGTGTCCCACAAACAGTCGAGGATTGAAGCGACCAATTTATTATTATTATTTTTTTGAAGGAATCATTACCCCCAGGTTCCTACTTACTGCTAGGTAAACAGAGGCATGTGGAGTGAGGAAACTTGCCCAACGTTTCACCCTGCCCGGGAATCGATTCTGTCGCTTGCAAGGCGAGTGCTCTAACCACTGAGCTACAAGACTCCACATGAGCAACAGGAGGACAACCTCAGACCAGGTTAATGCAGTTTACAACAACATAATTTAAGAAAATGGAGCAAGAAAAGGAAAACATAGGGTTCTGCAGCCCAACTTTAATATAGAAAACCCCCCACAGATTTTCTAGGTCTTGATATGAAATGGTTTAATATTTTTTTAAAAAAAAGCAACTATACAAACAAAACAAATGAAATATTTGAATTACTGTACTCTTACTTTAAATACATTCCTGCTCCAAGTCCACACCGTTTGAGGGGAGCTGAATAGAATAAGCCAAAATGCTGACTTGCAGATTCTTTCACCCAAACCCCCTCCCCTCCTCCCTCCACAAGAGACGTACATCAAGATCGAAATGAAAATGCATCAAGATGTTTTGCAATTTGCATATACTGGATTTCCAGCATCTGATAATCAGATGCTGATTATACTTTCATTCTGAGAAAGATATAGATAGCCTTTATACTTGACAATAAATTATTTTTTCACGCATTTTCAATTTTTTTTAAGAAAAAAAACCAACGCGAAAATAAAGGAAAAAAATTGTGAACATATATTTGTTGGGAGGTTTATCTTACATACATGAAAATAAATCCACTTAATGTCAAAAGCTGGGCTATAAATAATGAAACTACTGCAAGGATATTTACAAGACAGATCACAGAAAGGCTTGCTATCAATAATTACAGGACAAATAAAAACCACAGAATAACAAAGCAAATGTATATTACATCCTTTCAGCCCTTCCCCACCCCAGACAAAATTAAAATAAGGGAGGGGAAGCAAACAGACTTTACATTGGTACAGACATTAAGCACTTTCTAATTTGAATGCAGCCAGGCCTGGTGGTGCTCTATTGCTTTCATTGTGATGGTGTGACAGTTCTCAAGCCCTATTAATGTGGGCAGTGAAACTTCTGCCTGTCTTCCCCCCTCGATGCAAACAGCCTTTGTTATAAATATTGTATTTTTATTGGGCAAAATAGCATTTTCACTGTTAAGCTGTATGAACGATCAGAGGAATTCACCTTGAGCAACAAACATTAAGCTACAGCTGGATTTGGAAGAGCAGATTACCGTTTCCTGTACCAAAAACTAATTGCATCCTCCCTTTCCCCAAACTTTGTTCTTAATTTGAAGTCCAACGGTCATGATTCTTACAAAAATGTTGCAGATGTGTTTAATCCTGATGGGGGAGAGACTGTCCAAGCGAACACCTTTAGCAACAGCTGGTCTCCAGCATTAGCATTTTTCTCTTGAACGAATTGCAGTGTCCTAACTTAAAATTTCAGTATGATGTACCTCTGTACACGCAAGTGAGCGTGAGATACAAAGCTTGAAGAATATTGGATGCTTCTTTTTAAATTACTTTAATGTGTCGGTACTCTTGCAAAGTGTAGGGGTGCAATCAAAACCATTTTAACAACAGTGGTTGCTGCTTGAAGGCGCACATTCAAACCAGGAAGGTCACATGCATGTTGTCATGGTGGGTTAGGATCCAGCACCCGCCCTATATGCCATAGCAGTTAATCAGTTAATGCTTATTCTGATCACTTAAACCTCAGTGGGTGCTTTAGCCATGTGCAGATGAGGGACCTGAGAAAGCTCCTCACTTAAACTTTTAGCTTGTTTCACAGCAAACCAAAAAAAAACCTGATTCAGCTATTTGGCCGTACCTCTGCCATTTTCAGTTTGTTTGGCCCACGGCTACGATTTACAGATGGTTACAGATTGTGGGTGCAAGTAGTAATAACACTTGCTACAGACACTTGGTAATGTTAGCTGGGGGAGGGTATTTGTGTTGATGATGAAAGCTTTTACTTAGTTCTATGCAAAGACTTGCTAGAGAGAGCAATGATGGAGATGGTGCTGGTTTGATTGGGTCAATTTTTCATTAACCAATGCATTGTTTATAGGTTTCAGATGAAAGAAGGTCGGGAATGGCAGATTGCGACCACTTAATAACAATACCAATCCTTGCATTTGATATAGTGCCTTATCACATCTTCAAGACATCTCAAAGTGCTTCACAGGATATACTGTAAAGTGAATTGACTGAATATATTGTGGGCGAAATGCAGAAGCCAATTGCACACATTAGTGTCCCACAGTTGAAGTGTGGATTGAGTTGTGGATTGAGTAATCAAATTATTATTAGTATTTTTTATATTTTTTGAAGGATTATTAACCCCTGAAAAGTTGCTAAGCGGTGTCTCTTTGCCCATTTTTATCACTCTCTCCCTAAACTTTGGGCTGTGTCCTTCTGGCACTCTGATAAAATATGAATACATCATTACTGCCTTTGGAAAAGCCTGAGGTCGAATGCTGGCTGTATAGCCACTGGGTTAAAGCAGGGATGAAGAGGGGTGAAACTCTCTCGCTTTGAGGAACCTGCTGTGCTGTGTTCTCAAGCATTCAATAAAGAGCTTCAGAAATGCCAATGCGATTCCTAAAGGGTTTACCTTTTGCTACCGCCACACAGCTTTTGTGATTTAACATAACACGTGATGACTTTAAGAAGACAGAGCATTAAACAAAAACAACAAGCTTGAATTGACATTGCTACGAAAGAATAAAAAGCACTCTACGTTGCTGACGTACTACTTTTACAGTGAAATAGTGAACAAGCATGATTAGTATTGGTGTGTTGTAGTGTTGAATAATTAGGAAATATAATTTTCAAAGTAGCAGTTTGATATTTTGCACTGCCTTGGTTGAAATAATAAATAAACAAGCAAAACTTGTGATGGGTAAAAATGTTGTTTCTGTCTAGATGAAGGGGAACAAAACTGAAATTGTTGACTGTTATGGTAACATGAGAATAACTGGGTGTTAATGAAGTACAAGATTTAAACGAAAAAAACTAAAAAGTTTATTTGAAAGATTTTAAATATGACCGTTTTATAAACACAGGAAGATATCAGAAACGTACAGTCATTTCAATGAATGTAATGGTGAAGCCTCAAAATGAACGGCAGTTTGTTGCAGTCTTACTTACTCTGAGCGTGTGGAGAGGGTTATCGCAATGTCAAACTGCAAAGGTTTATTTAATTACTCATTCCGAAGATTAAAGCTGCAATATTCCATTTGGTTTTGCACTGCTGCTGAGGAGCTTTGCTGCAGATCAGACCAATACTAAAATATTTAACACGCTGTACCAAATAATAAGAAAATCCAAGCAGCAGTTGCAGAAATGCTCAAGCCAATAGTTCCGTTGCCACCAGTCTGCCTTCAGCCAGAATCCAGGATCTACATCTCATGGGGTGGTGGGGGGGGGGGTGGGGGGTGTGGAGGGGATGGTAGGTAGTGGATTTTCTCAACCTAATCCCTGTTTCTCACACACTCCAGCTTTAAGAACTTCACATCTCTCCACTGAATAGCAATGCTCATAACTCAGCCAAAACTCGGTTGCAGATGAAGAGCTTACCGCCCAACTCACCAAATCAAATGTATTTGGCCCTTTCACAATCCTTGCCCAGAACCCAATGTAACAAAGAGACTCAGGTTCCTTTTAAACGGGGGGGTGGGCGGGGTTGAGGTTCGATCATAATAACTTGATCCAATTCAGAGTGGATATCCGAATAGGCTGCTCATCCATTTATACACGTGCCGATTCCCTTTCAAAACGGGTTTGCTTTCAAATGCCCAGCTACACTTTGCAGGTCTAGTTAGTGAATGAACACTGGTACAAATGGAAAGTCCCAGCTCTGCTCATCCTTGTACCTGGGGACTTTACAAAGAAAACCCCCCTTTATCCCATACCGATGAGATATCATCAAAAAAGACAGGCAATGTAACTGTTGCTGAACCATGCAGATCAACAGCCTAAATGTGATGAATCTCCTTAATGTATTTATTCCCCTGGCTTTCCAGCTTGGCTTCAAACCACATTGCTGTTAATCGCTCTGAGACACCACCCATATCAAGGGAGCTATATAAATGCAAGTCGTTGTTGTTGCATTTTTTTCCTATAATAATAATCCTTGCATTTGATATAGAGCCTTATCACATTGCATCACAGAATATATTGTAACGTGAATTGACTCTATATTTTGTGGGTGAAGCGTGGCAGCCAATTGCACACAACAGTGTCCTAGCTCTTTAGGCAGCTTACAGGTAAACCTGCTCTAGTCTACCCTATTCTATGTCCCCCAATCCCCCCACCCCCAGGAACTCCCCTTCCCCAAATAAAGAGAGACTGAGATCACAAGCATTCTGCAGGCAAAGACCTTATCTTATAACAAGGTATAGGTGGCAATACTGTGTAACTGTTGTATTGACTCCTTTCTCAGCATAAAGTAACACAAAGGCACCATTGATATCTTTCTGTGTTGAAATACTGTAAAAACGCTACATATGGCACATTAGTATTCCGGACGCTATTTATACATACATATACTTTAATCTATAAAAGACTTCTACCTGCTGCAAGACTCTTGTCGCTAAAATAAAATAAAATTGTTTAATTTAAAGTAAAGTATCTGGAGTACTTCATTATATAAAATAAAGTTTTACAGGTGCATCTAAGAGTTGGTTTTAAACAGCAATCGGGTCCTGGTTAGCAATTACACTGGACAGCCTGACTTGCAACTCTTCCTGTGCTGAGTACCTATTGGCAGAGTTAGTCCTGCTATCGGTCAGCCGGTAGGCGCAGGCTGGCGATTCCACCCCCATTGCCAATGGATTCTGTATGCTCAGGAATGGTGTGTCCTCCCCTATTCGTTCATCTTCCATTTCGCTTTCAGAGCTACTGCTCTCCGAGCTGCTATTGCTCTCGCTCTCCGCCATGTGGGAAACGTGCCCATTACTGGGCTTTGTTCTTTTCCCCCTCCTGCTGGCTGCCACTTTCTTTGGCGGCTCCGGCACCGGCTCGTACTCCTGTGTTGTCTCGTACTCATCGTCCTCGGCCACCCGGAGTGGGCTGGGTGGGAGGCTGCTGCTGTCCTGGGTGTTGCTACGGTGTTGCCTGTAAGGCTGGTGCCTCTTTCCCTCCACCCGCAGCTTGGGTGGTGTGACCAGGAGCAGGGGCCGCTCCTCCTCCGTGAAAGGGCTGATGGCCACGGAAGGAATGGAGATGGTCAGGCTGGAAACGGGAGGAGAGGTGATCGAATCGGGGGACGTTGGGGACATGGGTGATCTGAAGTCCACAGGAGACATTCTGGCTGGAGTGGTCATAGCAGAGACAAACCTGTGAGGGCACAAACACAGAATAACACGTCAGAAAACAATACCCGCACAGAACACTCATCTTTACAATGAAATAAAATGCATTTGATATACCTGCTTTTTACTGTAGCTCAGTGGTTAGAGCACTCGCCTCACAAGCGAGAGACTTGGGTTCCCTACTCCACTGGCTCGTTCCCCTCCTTCGAACACCTTACCCTCTGCCATCACTTCCACCTCTCTCTGAACATTCTCTTACTTTACCGCCCCCCCAAATCCTCTCCCAACTTCATCTCTGACATCTCCACTCTCTTTGCTTCCCTCTGCCTCTGCTCCAATCACCTCATCATCCTAGGCGACTTCAACCTCCACTTTATCCCCTCCTGCTCCATCTCCTCAGACTTCTCTTCACTCCTCTCTTCTCTCAACCGCTCCCTCCACATCCACTCTGCTACATCCACATCCCACAGTCACCCGCTCGACCTGGTGATCACCCGGGGCCTCAGCGTCTCGGATGTCACCATCTCTGACCACCATTTCATCTCCCTCAACTCCCATATCCCTCTCCCCGCTGTCTCCAAACCTACCACCGTCTTCTCCTGCCCATGGAAGAAGATCTCCCCGCAATCCTTCTCCGCTGCCCTGGAGTCCTGATCTCCTCCCCCTCTGGCCCAACTCTCGCACAATCCACTCACTGTACTCACTCTTCTCCATAGCACCCTCTCCACCACACTCGACATCCTTGCCCCCCTCACCTCCCGAACTGCCTCCTATTCCCGATCCTCACCCTAGTTCACCAGCCACCTCCGCTCGCTTGGGGCCAGGTGCGGGCTGCCAAACACACTTGGCTCAAATCCGGCCTAACGGTCCACCTCCACGTCTGGCTGGACCTCATCAAAACCTACCGCTCCACTCTTGCCTCGGCCAAATTATCCTTCTATTCCAGGTTAATCCTGGAGGCGAAAGGCAATCCCAGGCTCCTGTTCTCCACCACTAACCGGCTCCTCCACCCTCCCCGACACGCTTCGCAGATACTTTCCTCTGACTCTCACTGTGAGAAAATGCTGGACTTCCTCGAGTCCAAAATCGAGGGAATCCACTCAGCTGCCACTGCCCTCCCAATGTCCAACCCCTCCCTACCCCCACCCACACAATTACCCATCCGACAATTACCCATCCCTCCTTCCACACCTTTGAACCTGTCACTCCCTCCTCATCGGCTTTTCCAACTCTTCCCTTCACAAGCTGCAGATCATCCAAAACTCTGCAGCTCGTGTACTCTCACACACCAGGCTCCGTGCCCCCATCACTCCCACCCTCGACCGACTCCACTGGCTCCCCATCCCCCAGAGGATCAAGTTCAAGATCCTCGTCCTCACCTTTAAGGCCATCCATGGCCTTGCCCCCTCCTACCTCTCTGACCTGCTGACTCCCTACCAACCTACCCGCTCCCTCCGTTCATCAGGCTCCGGCCTGCTCCATTTCTCCCGCCCGACCCGCCCTACCATCGGTGGCCGGGCTTTCAGCCTCTCTGCCCCCACATTCTGGAACTCCATTCTTTGCCTTGCCTCCTTTAAGGCCGGTCTCAAGAAACCTTCTCTTCAACTGTGCCTTTGGTCTCCGTCCCACCTCTCTGCCTTCCCTCACTCCTATACCACCCCTCCCCCATGCTCGGGCCCTGACATCTGACTGTTCAGCGCTTTGGGATGTCCTCCCAACGTGAAAGGCGCTCTATAAATGTAATTTTGTTGTTGTTGTTGTTGGGTTCCATTCTCAGGCAGGATCTGGGTTTGATTCCCGGCAGAACGAAATGTTGGGCAAGTTTACTTACTCCACACTGTTTACCTAGCAGTAGGTAGGAACCCGGTTGTTAGTTGATTGTCGGATCGCTTTTCCGGGGGTAATAAATTTTTCAAAAAATAATTACTGACTCCATGCCTGTTTGTGGGACAGTGCTGTGCACAATTGGCTGCTGTGTTTCGCCCACAAAGTACACAGTCAATCCACTTTAGAATATATTCTGTGATGCACTTTGAGACGTCTCAATGCTGTGATAAGAAGCTATGTCAAATGCAAGGATTACTATTGTTATTATCATCTAGACCCCTCTCTTGTCTTTAAGTCCTGTCTCAAATCCTACCTCTTTGAAAGTTTGTTTCACATCAGGACATTTCAAAGTGCTTCATAGGATATACATATTATTATTATTGATAATAAGGACCTGAATTAATTTGGGAGAGAATGTGCTGCAGAGAATCAGAGTAATATATAGGCTTGCCTTAGAGTATAAGAGGCAAACACCCTAAAATAAACATGTTACAAAATTGTCACTCTTTCCTTATACAGATGTTAATACTATGATCAGTTGTTAGTTGTATAAATGTTGGGAATAGTCCCATTGCCTCTATCTAGTATTTATAGCACATTGCCACTTTATTTACAGCTTTAGGTTGTGTGCTGGAGAGCAGATATTGACTGGGTGAAACTAAGACTGCAATGTCACATTATATTTTAAAGATTTTCTGACTGGGTTAGCTTCAAAGCTGCACACTGGAACCAAACGCTGTTCCTTCACACGCAACCCAACCCAACTGCTGCACTGGTATCTTCACACACAATCTACCTTTCACTGTGAGGGGAATCTCGGAGAGAATCTGGCGTTTCTCTCCAGTTCTTCATACAGATGTGCATCTCTCTGCGACTTGCTACACCATTGAGGCGACCCCGGTGATTGTTCGGGCTGATCTGTGTGCTGGTTTCTATTGACGATGTCACAAGCACAGAACGTCCATCTGAGGCGAGGCTTTCTGTTTGTCCTGTACTCCAACTGTGAGAGTAAGAGGAAGGAACTTTATGTTACAAATTGACGGTGAAGGACAAGGGCAACGACACCAAGACTGGCATTCACTGGTCAGGTCTAAATCACCCTTTCAGCTACCAAAGACAATATATACTGAAAGATAGTGACATTTGGGTTTGTCAAGTTGATAAAGCACTTTTTAGACACTGAGCTCATGCAGGTCAATGGGAGGACTGTATAATATAATAAACTTTGCATTTGATATAGTGTCTTCATGTCTTCGAGACATCTCAAAAAGCTTCACAGAATATACTGTAAACTGAATTGATTGTATATTTTGTGGGCAAAACGCAGCAGCTAATTGCGCACAGCAGTATTATCAGAGATGTCGTCCTTGCTGATGAGACAGTGAAACTGTGGTCTCATCTGCCAGGTAATGAGACTATTTGAAAAGAGAAGGGAATTTCTTCCAATGCCCTGGCCAATAATCTTCCAAATCAATAAATTAGTCATTGACTTCATGATTGTTTTGGGGAATATTGCTGTATGCAAATATAGCAATTGTCATGTTTGCCTACAAAATTCATTCACTACAATGTGCCAAACTTCTCAAGTGAGCGCTTAGAGACACTGAATATCGATTCTACAGGTCCTATATAAAATGCAAGAGTTATTAATTATAAATTATATCCAATGGCTTAACACAGATTGCATTACCTGTGGCTCGGTGTCTGAGTAACTGTCGTGGAGTGCTGGCTTGTTGATGTGTAATGACTCGTGGAGAATGAAGTTTCCGTTTCCCGTTCAATAACGTGCTCAGCGGATCCTGGGTGTTTTAATATGTACTGCTGTAAACAGAAAGCAGAATGTTAGACCTGCTCATAACACACAGCTCCTGTCCTGCCTATTACTATGTGAAATAAGCATCTTCGATAGTAAAGGCCAAACTTTTATTCTCGAATAAAAACTATGCTAAAATGTGCCAATTATGTGCCCACTGTTGCTTACAACAACAAAGAATTATACTTGCATAGAGCTTTTCATGTCAGGAGGATGTCCCAAGGCACTAGGATATAACCAGGTTTAGTACTCTGCAGCTACTAATGTACCTCAAAGAGGAGTTAGCGACAGAAAATCACTGTAGTCCATTATTCTTGTCTTATTAATATTTTAGTTTATTAACAAACATGAAAAAAAAAGCTGTGCGCTCGAGTTTCCTGTGACGATCACATTTTCTAGACCTTTCAAGTCAACAACTGATAGCAAGAATTGCACAACTTAGTACATCAAAGCTCAATCCCAGGCAAACTATATTCATCACTTGTTGATCTGACTTGTTCGTGAACTATTTGGCCGCACTTCATTTATTTTATACTCAGATGTTTAAGGTGGGTTTACTTCATCCTGGAATGGATTTGAAATGAGGAATTCACATTACTGCTAATGGTTGGCTAGAGATTCGAGATTTACAATGACTGACACTCATTATCCACTGCAATGCCAGACCTCACTAGGAAAGCTACAGCTACTAAAAAACAGGCATGAGTCAGACCAAAATGTTTAAAGCAAAATGCAATGAGATTAGTCACTTTAAATCTCAGAAATAACAATATCTTTTCTGTTGTTTGTAATTTATTTATTTATTGACTATACAAACAGCCTTGTACTTGGTTATCTCCAACAATATGGAGTGGAATGGAATACTGTACACAAAATCCCACCAGTATTTCAGAGCGATAACGGACACATCTGCACCATCTCACCCAACACAGCCTGGAAGAATGCTAGACTTGGCATTTAGTTTTGTCCTTTAATTTTCAATTTGCAGTGATAAATCTGTACAGAAATTGGTAATTGCTTAAGCAGAAATAAGATCATTGATAATTCTGCTAAGCACATGCTCCACTGCAACTAAATCTCACATGGCAGCTAGGAATCCCTCAAACCAAAAGCTGCTAGTTTTTTACATCTATTAATCATGCAAAACCCAAGCCAGTGGTTAGTTCTGCTCTGTGAATGCCAATTACAAGAACTCCTGCTAACCCCCATCCTGTTAAAATATATAAAAACTGGGAATACTGAAATCCTAAATAAAGAGAGAAAAGAGAAAATGCTGGAACTATATTCTTTCTTATTACCTTTCTTATCCAACCGTTCATCAGAACTGGTAACCTATTTTCCGCCTGTTGACGAGATTGAGCAGTTGCTACGCTCAGTAATATGTATGAATTACAGTGACTCATTGCTATAAAACCTCAATTATATCAATTAGTTGCAATGATGCAATTCAGGGAAACCTATTTCAATTCTTCCTAGTCTTAGCCCATCTTGTCTTAACGCTTAAGATCTCGCAGAACCGTGGAAAATTCTTCGATTCGATCTTCATTTGCAAGGTGCTTTCTCTGCAGTTCGTAACACTTAATTTTCAAATTAAGACTGAATTTAAGAATTGCTCACAATTATCCACAATGTTAACATTTGAAATAAAATGGTCTTGTAGGAAGTTAGACTTCAGCAGCTGCCTCTTGCTTTACACCAATGCTCATTGGAATTAGGTAATCAGGGTGCATCTCTCCAAGGAGATAGTGTTCCATTCTATACACAGGGAGATTTCCAATGTGTAGGTAACATGTCCTTGTGGGGCTCTCAGTCTAGTTTAGATATTCTTAAGCATGGTTTGACTCCCAGCTGATCAGAGTGTCCAGAATTTGAATTTCGCAAATTCTCCCAACATAGCCTCTATTTGCACAGTATCTACGCACTCCCATAACCTACGTTGGAAAGCTGGACGTTATCTGCAGGATGGTTGGCGTGATGGGGTCCGTTCACAAGGTTCACCATGTTGCTTCGTTCGGAGCGGAGGCTCTGTCTGAGACGGTCGTGCAGCTTTTTCCTCTGTTTCCTATGGTTAAAGGTCAAAACCAAAACAAGATCCATGAATTAATTTACAATAATAATCCTCACATTTGATATAGCGCCTTATCACATCTTCGAGATGTCTCACAGCGCTTCACAGGATACACTGTAAAGTGTGGTGACTGTGCATTTTGTGGGCGAAACGTGACAGCCAATTGCGCACAGCAGTGTCGCACAAACAGTTGTGGATTGAGTGACCAAACGATTATTATTTTGGAGGGATTATTACCTCCGGAAGGCAATCTGCCAATCACTAACAAGTGGGTTCCTATTTACTGCTACATAAACAGAGGCATGTGTGTGGAGTAAGGAAACTTCCCTGGGTTTTGCCCTGTCTGGGAATCGAACCCAGGTCTCTCGCTTGCAAGGCAAGTGCTCTAACCACTGAGCTACAGGACTCCACAGGCCTGAATGCAATGCTTCTCTCTTCACACCAACCCCCACTCCCCAGCCACAAAATATGAAATAAGAACAGTAACAATGAAATACTGACATGATACATCGGTTCAAAAGGATAAGCAGTGTTTAATCTAAATGTGAAATATGTCTGCGCTATGTATATATTAAAAGAGTTCTATCATCTGAATACATTTTACACATTTCATTAATGCTTAGATATCAGGTTAAGTCTCCATAATGTGTTAATCCTTTGTAGCCTGACTGTTCCAGTACATTTAATGTATATTCAATGTCATCTGCTTCAGATTACTGAGAGAGTCAGTGGGAGTATTGCCTTCAATAGAAGACGTTGGTTAAATGTTCAATATATTGAATTTAATCTATCTTTCCTCTATATCCAGCCACCAATATAGATTTATTTTATTTTTACTGAAGTCATGGAGTGTTTTCTACCAGGAAAAGAAAGATCAATATGGAAAAGAATTGAAGAAATGGAAGGTTAACTAGACTGGACAGTTTCACTGTGAGTAGGGTGTCATTTTACATACATTTTTCCAGAATGCTGACTGTGATATCTGCATTATCCAAAACCAATTTCAACCACATTGTTGAGATTCAAACATTTTGGACAAGAGCAACACATAAACTATTTCATTTGAATCTTTTTATCCCCCTTCCATCTCAAGAAGCGTCTTGCTTGATTGGTACATGCATTCAATTCTAAGTGAGAACATTCAGAGTTAGAATTGCAGTGGAAGTCTTGATCAGGATTGAATAAAGTTAAAAATGACATAAATTGAGTCAATGCTTTTCTTAACCACTAAAGTTTGGTCCGGTCTCCAGCCCCCCTCCCCCCTGTACTGCAAGCTTCACTGACCCACTGTGAGAGACTGGTCAGATAAGCTACATTCAGTGCTCAGGCTATGATAAATACTCTTTGTCTTTCTGTCAGAAAGTTATGGGTTCACCCCACATTGGAACTTGAGCTCATCTTTGGGGCAGATACTCTCCAGTACAGTAATGGGGGAGTGCTGCATTGTTGGTGGTGTGGTCTTTCAGATAAGATGTTAAACCAAGCTCCTGTCTGCCGCATTAAATTCATTGTATTCAAGATTCAATTAATGCCACCCATTGAAAGCAATAAGATTAAAGATCCCATGACACTAACCCATGAGCAAAGAGAGTTTTTCTCAGTATCCTGGCCAACAGACCTCCAGAATAGTGTGTGTCATGTGGCTTCCAAATTTACCAGCAAAAACAGTCACTGCAACTAATAGTAATTACTGATAAAATGCTTTTAGTGTAATTAGCTATTAGAGTAAACCACATCACTTCTCCATTCTTTATCTTTTGAATTTTATTACCTTTTGCCATCAGCTTTTATCAAGGAACTTCACCCAATGGGTAGAGTTCAATGTTTTAAAGCTGTTGTGCTCCTCTGGAATATTGTAGGATTGACAGGATTGATACTTGTTTTGGTGACATTCACTGCACTTTACAATAAATCCTGTGAAGCACTTTGAGACAGCCTCCCTATGTGAAAGGTGCTATATCAAATACATTGATTATTGTTATTGATAAATCGTTTACATCTCAATAAGATCCTCTCTGAGTCTTCAGCTTTCATTAGATAATATTTAGAAAATTATTAGAAAATAATATCTCAGGAAATAGTTTGGGACACGACACGTCAAGCAACTGCCGGGGTGGTGGAAGGCGAACAAGATGGACCTTGGTCTTCTTTTGCGTAGCAAATTCTTATGATCTTATGTTCTCAGCTTGTCTAACCATTACTTACATTACTCCTTCCTCTTACACTGGATCAAGATCCTTGTTCCTTTTTGCACTACTCCTAGGGTTTGGGCAGCCCCTTATGTCAGAGGGCCCTCAGAATTGTATCCAAAGTCTAGATGCACCTAACCTGACTCACAATTTGAGTATGACATCTGAAGATCTGAACTCAGCTGATTTGACAAAATAGCTGAGCTCCTGTTTGCTTTGTTTATTGTTGCCTGTTACAGATGAGTCAACGAACACCCCTAGATTTCCTTCAACCTCCTTCTGGCAATTTCTATTCAATCCATGGTGTACATATGCCTCCTATTCTTACCTCCTACCCACCCACCTTATAAAGATGGGGCAACAGCCTGCATATATTTAGCACCCCTCATGCAGGATGGTGTCTCAGAGTGCTGAGATGCTATCCTGACACAGTGCTGTAATGCAGGAGGTGTACAGGGATCTCCTGTAATTAGATACAAGAAGGAACAGAACATGGGACACAGATCAGACAGGTTCCAGCTATCATTTGAAAGGACAAAAGGTATTTGCATTTACTTGGTTTTGCAATAGGCCACCACACACATGATGCCAACCACCAGCAGGGCGATGCAGATGCCAGTTATTGTCAGTACCCGTTTCTGGTACAGCTCCTCAGCCTCTGGAGAAAGGACGAGAGAACAAAGAACATTATGGCCTCGGGCGGGTCCTGCTTCGCAGAGACGTCAGCGCGCACCGTGAAAACGGGAACATTCAGCGAGGTGGAGGAGTCTTCACTTTGGCTTGCTTTGCCACTTCTGTACGTGAAGCACCACACAAAGTGAAGACCGACATCAACAGTTGAAAAAAAAAGGCAGCTCCTTGTTTACCAAATGCTTTCGACTTCACCGTTACTTTCAATTCATGCCCTGTCTTAAGTAGAAGCTCTTTAAAATGGGCAGCAACAGATAGATGATGTTTAAGGTCATTGTCAGTTCTTACTTGTGACACCCCCATTTAATAATCATTTTGTCTAAAAAAAAATCCAGGTCAAACTAGCCAAGTATCATTACTATCACTAGTCGATTGGTGGATTGCTTTTCTGTGGGTAATATTCCTTTAAAAAATAATAATTTGGTCACTCAATCCACGATTGCTTGTGGGACTCTGCTGTGCACAATTGGCTGCCGTGTTTCACCCACAAAACATAGAGTCAATTCACTTCACAGTATATTCTGTGAAGGGCTTTGAGACGTCTAGAAGACGTGATAAGGCGCTATATCAAATGCTAGGATTATTATTATTATAGTGCTGTTCAGATCAGGAGGTCAAAGGCTCTGCTGAATTAGCTGATCTCAGCCTGGATTACAGTTGGAGTGAGTAATAAATGCCCTCAGCAAAACAACAACAACTTGCATTTATATAGCGTCCTTCATGCCGGACGGCTTATAGGAGCGCAACAGGACACAGGTCACAGCGCTCTGGGGTTAGTGAGGATGGGAGGGCTTCACTGACCCCACTACGGATATCGAGAATATCCAAAAAGGGCCGATTGCATACAGTGATGATATTACTGTCAAAGGAAAAAGGAAGCAAGTGCTTCCAGTGGTTAGGGCAGGAGTGGAGAAAATTGAAGGAAACAAAAGGAATCTATTTTGATCTGTGGCACTCTTACAAATAAGCATATTCCCCATTCATTCAAATGTGTTTGGAAACTATTTAACTCTTGCTGATCACAAACTTAAAGTGTATCGATATCCCGTCCCTGCGCATTTCTTAGACCCAAAAGAGATCTGCACCTCACTTTGCTAGCATCTTTTACTCAAGCAGAGCATGAACGGAAGTAAACTAGAAGCAAATGAAAAGCTTCTGTGTGACAGTTACTGCCTTTCTTTTAATCCCCGCAGTGCAGCTTATAACTCCTGAGAGTTATAGATGAAATATGTAACGAAAAGATATAAAAACAGTAAAACTAAATTGGTTATTACTCATTGATGTTTCCTGCACAGAGCACCAACAGGATGGGCCTTAGCAATTATATAGCCATTTAATATATTGATAGCCAATTCTGTTACTTCACCACCTTATAATGCAATCGTTTGAAAAGATAATTTCAGAGCTTTTTCTTTCCATTTTTTCACCTTCCCCTTTCAGCCGAAGGAGAAGGGCAAGCCTTGTGGAGAAGCTCTACTGTCAATGTTATTTGGTGGGACAAGTCAGCACCCAACTTGTTTTATACAGAGAAACATTCAATAGTAACAAGCCTCTTAAGCCTGGCACACAGGAGAACAATCACAACATTCACAGGATCAAATTATCTTTAAAAACATTCTGTTAAATTTGTATAGAAAGAGAAAGAGCTGCCAATGAAAGAATTACTGTGGCAGGCTGGGGGCTATGAAAATCAGGAATATGCAGTTTCTCTTAAATCAAATCATCTTTTTTTCATTCTCTTCCGAAAAGGTGCATGTGATATTTGTAGCAAGCAAAAATCCATCATCTGTATGTTAACATTGGAGACGGGCAATTGGAAAAATGATTGGGAGAGAGTGCCTTTCTTTTAAGAGAGAGGGCATCCAATTCCTTAAAGCTCCTCCCAGACTATTCGGTCTCCCAGATCAGCCAGTTCAGTTCTGGAAACTCATGTTATTTGTTAACTTTCTTCCCACTGATGCACATTTGTGAGCTTTTCAAATATATACATCTATAGAGGAACAAGACGACCAATTAATCCTTGCTAAATGTTTCAGCATTTTTAATTTAATTTAATTTGCGCCTTTGTCCTTCAAATCATATGAGAAAACTTCAAATAGTTCCTGATTTTCATTCGCAACAAAGGAGCAACAGTTTTTCAGTAAACAGCTTTCGTGTTACATCAATGATACACTTTGTCTCTGATCCTGCATAGCTATTAAACAGAAAGAACATGGGACAGTCATGACAGATGAGACAATCACTATAGAGTCTATACATCAATTCAGGAGAATTACTGTATTATGGAAATACTAGTTTCGCCAATGCAGGGAGTATTCAAACGGAACATAAAAACAAAAGGGTAGCAAGAAGATGCCAGAAGGGTAGAGATTTTGATTTAAAAAAGTAGTTTTGGGTTAAAGGAGTCAACTGTAGGCCTGGCATAGCATGCTTCTTACTGGAAAACAAGAGAGAGGAAGATTTGAAGAGGAAGCTGATTGAAGCAGAGTACGAAGGGATGTCCCATACAATATAATCACCGACTGCCTGTGCCAGCACAAAAATACACTGCCTGTACTTGGGTGCTTTGGAAATTACAAAAAAGACAAAAATTTAAAATGGGAAAGACTTCAGTCAAATTGGTAACCAGTTCTTTTTGACTTATCGGTTTGTGTTCTTCACTGACTGTTGGGCGACAAAAACGCAGATTAGGATTCCTGAGGTTTGAATTCAAATGAAGTGCCCTGCTTATCTTTCTATGTTTTTGTGAGATAAGGCTTTCAAGGGATATGGGCTAAAGGCGGTAATTGGAGTCGAGGTACAGATCAGCCATGCTCTAATAGAATGGTGGAACAGGTGGAATAGCTGAATAGCCTATTCTTGTTCCTATGTTACAAACAAAATGTTTTTTAAAATATGCACAGGAGTTAAAATATCTTTTTAGTTTGTTTTTAAATTCTATACCGTTTATTAAGAATAACATATTTTCCTTTGTTTCTCTCTCTTCTTCATGTTAAGATGTTTTAATCCAGTTTTTATTCCTTGGGTCTATTTAAATTGAAATTTCACTTTCAAATTCATATGAGGCCATGGTTTTGATTACCTCAAGGATATACTTGTCAAACCTGTTGAGTGATATATACCCTGATATAAACCTACATTAATTTGTGCCTTGAAGGTTCATCTGTAGGTCTTTTCCCCATTATATTACCACTGCCAAAAGCATAAGAGTTAAATGGTGGTACAAAAATGCCTCGATTTGAATTAGAAAAATTCAATGGATTTCCTGTGAACTGTTTTTTTTATGAGCCCAGTGAGACTGAAGGCTTCTAAGGAGAAAAGGAAGGAAGTTGTATCATATCTCACTTCTCTTCCATTGTTAGGGAATTACCAGAACTATGTCTGTTTATTGCCGTGTTCTGTACACCAACAGGTCTGACTATGTTTTGTTTAATGAAACCCACATGCCAGTTGAGAGTCAGCTCTTTCCTCGAAGGCAATTTGAGCAGTATACCAAACGTGCACTGAGTATGTCACCTCAAGCTCACAGCCATCCGAATGCTGCTTTCATTGCCTAAGAAATGAGCGCCAATACGTTTTGGATTTCAATGAGGTGTTCTAATGGTTGAGATGACTTCATTAATTTCAAAGCCACAAGTTGATGTGGCAAAGCCAAATAGCCCAAATCATTTTGAGCTGGGAGAAATTGTTTCAACTCATGTGTAAGTGACATGGAAAAAGTCCTTCGGGAATCCCTAGAGCAGTGGGTATTCAAAGAGAGGGCAAAATCCAGAGATTCTAAATCAAGTCTTGAAGCCCTGCCATTCAGAAAAGCTTTCACAAGCTGCAGCCAGAAATATCATTTACTTCTGCAACGTTATTTATTCGTCTTGTAAATTGAGTTGTTTCCTATTCATGTTTATTAGGTCATTCTCGTGGGCAGTCCAGAAGTTGGGACTCCTAGCTTTTGAACCCTTTAGAGCCCAGAGGTTTGTGTTGTTTTGAGCCTGGAGGTCTCTGAACTATCGGCCAAATTGCAAAAAGTTTGGAAATAAAATGTAAATATGACTTTAAATGTTATTACATTCAGCAAAATAATTTGGGGGCGAATTAAACAAAGAAAGAACCAATTTGATTCCAAAAGTCATGGCCTTTAAAGATAAACTTTGGGATTTGGTATGTAACATTTTGCAATATCGTTTGAAATACAATCCAATTTAATTAATGCATTAAATAAGGGTTAATTCATTATTAATTAATCATTGATAATTAGTTAGTTATTAAGTTACAATACCATGATTTTGGTTACTTTAAGAAAAAAAAGGCTTTAAACACTGAATGGTAAGAATATTTATCTTGATGCCTGTTAAGAGTTTTACTGTAGCCCAGTAGCGAGGCAGGCTTGCAGCTAGCTGTATTTTAATTGTTGGCCTTTAATTTTCTATCAATATTAAATTAGATGTTTCCACTTAATTCAATGAAAAATTGAATTCGGAAACACACCATGATGTCAGAGTCTTAAAACTGATAATCAAATGAACTCCGAACTCTTTCGAGTCTTCCAATAGAATGGAATACTGGGATTGATTTCAAACCCAATTATTTTTTTCCTCGCTAATCTTCTCCTGCCCTGAAAGCAGTTGTCTCCCTTTCTCTTTTACTAGAGGTACAATGCCATGTTGCTCTTGTCACCCTCCATTACCTTGGTATGGGTGTGGGAGTCTCAGGGTTGAATTTTGTTGGCTATTTATGCAGCGATCAGGAATGGGAGCTTAGCAAGCTTTCCTCCCTAAACCGCTGGTGTTGAAAAGAATACCAGCACCTCAACCACTGACTGGCCAAGATCTGCTAATTCAGCACAGACCAGGGGATGGGTTTAACTCTCACTGGACAAGCTTGTTGAATTGTTGAGGGTTCTGAACTGGTATTTTTGGTAAGAAAGTCTTAAGCAGACTGACAACTATGAGATGGGTGCTAATTGAAAGTCTAAGCTGTGCAACTTCACAGTCAAATGAAGATAGTTGCTGTTCGTGAGATGTCCGGGAAACACTCCCTTTCCCATTTTCTATTTGTTACCCAAGAAACATTAATTAAAATGGCAGACAGGCTATTCGGAATGGATCATCCCTTCTGAAAGCAAAAGGGAGGGGGTGGGGATGGGGTGGGTGGCGGGGAGACTGGTTAAGAATTGAAGGTAGGTCCTAGCTGTTAAGAGTTTATTCTGCAGGTTAAAAGGAATGATTGTCCATACCCATAAATTCAATTCCAAGATGCTCTGCCAATGCAGAAAGTTGACAAAAAAAAGAAAAAAAAGGGAAAAAAGTTTCAGAGAAGAGCAGATACAACATACTGGAACAAAAAGGTACACGTGAGTAACATGGTTAGCCTGTGCTCGAACACGGAAGACATGGTGAGTGGCAACATTCATGGTTAGGCAGTGCTCAGATAAGCTGCTTTGTCTGAGGTCAGAAAACCCACCAGGGAATTGGTACTTTGTTAATAAACTATGATTTGAAAATCTCCACAGCAATTAAAGCAGCTGGACATCAATGGCACGAAAAGTGCCTGGGAATATCACAAAGAATTTTAGCTGAAATATTAACTTGCTCCTCCCCCCACCCCTGTTTAACTGGAGATGAAATATGAAGTAAATATAGCCATACGTAGTTTATCTGAACTTAACTATGAATATCATAATTTCTTCAGTTGGACTCTGACACTAGTGATGGTAAAGCCAAAGTTGCCATTGCTTATGTGCAGACTAGAGATGGTGAGGGAGAAATGGAATAGGGGAGGAAATGGTAAAAGTGAGATTTGTGAAATCATCCCTTCAGAAAAAAACAGATCATAATCCATAGCACAGCTAAATGTGCCTTCCTGGGCTGTGTAAAATGGAGCTTGATTTTCAGTACGAGCTACATTCCTGCATGTTTAAATCAAAATGAGTGAAGAGTTGACAAGAGTTTCAGGCAGAGGAGAAAACTTTCAATACGATCAGGCTTTCCATGAACTGGGAGACTTCCACACTTGATATAACAGCTAGAAGCGGTAATGGGAAGACTGCGGGGTTGCTATTTTAGATGAGTGCGATCAAATCCCTACCCCTTCTGTGTTTGCTGGCTGGACACAGTCAGGCAAAACCTACTGATTGGCACTCAAGTGTCCAGAGTTTGAAGTCAATCCCCTTTCGACAAGGTACGAACGGTATCATACAACTTATTCCACTACAGTTAGAGTTATTTTATATTTAAGGTATTAGAAGGGATAGTAGCCCTTTCAATTCGAGAATCACATTGGTTACAGGAAAAAAAATACCCCCCCCATAAAAAGAATGTCTCGTTTTCAAAATATTCCCTGTACGCTCATGTTTTGCTTTCAGGAAGAAACTCGACATGATCACATTTGGGTTTCCTTGTCCAGCATTGATCACCACTGCAGTCCTATGTGAGCACTGCCAACAATACATATTAGTTCCATTGAAAAGAAAAGTAACCGCTGTTAAACACTCACAAGCTCAAACATGCATATCACTACAATTTTTAGTGGATGCTTGCACTTGAACGAACAAAGAATGTTAGTTGTAGCTACAATTACAGCACAGAAAGGCACATTCACATCAGGGTTCAAGAAAAGGCCATCAAAAGAGAGAAAAAAATAGGAGTTTCATAAGCTTCAGACTAGGGGCGTTATAAAGGGAACATGCTCACAGAACATAAAGACAATACTATCTGCATGCATCTCTCTCTTCACAGATCTCTGACTCCCACACAAATCCAAGCTACGTTATTCAACTTTATTTAAGGACACAAACAGTTAACCAGAAACTACTATATTAAGAATTCAACAAAAACAGCTACAGCTATACGTTTATCTGGTTCATGTCAGACTGCCACTTAAAATATTTCTGTGTTGTAAACTTCCTAGAGACTGGCTTTCTTATAGAAATTGAAACTCAGTTCAGTTGTAATAAGGTGCTCCGGCTGATAACAATTCGTCTGCATTCGTAATATTTCAGAGAAAAGATTACAAGTGTCAAAATATTTATTGCTACATTTTTGGAAGTTGCGTTAGTTGGTAGCGCAGGAAGAGGGCGAAGAGTGTGATTTGAATTCTGGCAGAGATAAGGGATGTGACATATTTGTTGCTGTGGGCGCATGTGGTACAAATTGGTTTCTCTTTGACCACTGTCTAAGCCCCTGTAATGGATTAGGTTGAGCTGGCAGGCAGATTTCAGTAACATTACCCTTAAATCCACACAGCGTACATATAAAGGAACTGCTGTGTGTTCTGCATCTATTTGCAAAGTTTTACACCCATCAAATGTGAACAATATGGTCTATATGTGGAGTCCTGTAGCTCAGTGGTTAGAGCACTCGCTTTGCAAGTGAGAGACCTGAGTTCAATTCCAGGCAGAGGGCGAAACCTTGGGCAAGTTTCCTTACTCCACACAGAGCCTAATAATAATTCCTCCAAAACCAAAAACAATAATAAATTGGTCATTTTCAATCTACGACTGTTTGTGGGACATTGCTGTGCACAATTGGCTGCCGCGTTCGCCCACAAATATACAGTCAATTCACTTTACAGTGTCTTCTGTGAAGCGCTTTGGGACGTCCTCCCGACGTGAAAAGCGTTATATCAAATGCAAGGATTATTATTGAGTACATTAAAACTGTGCTACGTTATTTTGGACCACATGAACAATATTGTGCGGCAGATTAATAACATGTTATATTATTTGAGGCAATAATACACATTTGTGAAATGGTCAACATTAAAGAGGATTGGATATATTTATATTCCTTGCCTGGCTCAATGGGACTGTCGTACGCCAGGTTACACATTGCATGCTAGATGGTTTAAATAAGCTCAAATCTCAAAAGAACTGCATTGGAACAATGTTGACAGCTCTAAAATCATTCTTGCATATTCTCAACATAAAGGATTGTGTCAAGATTATTAGCAACTGAAATGGGTTGTTTGAAAAAAACTAGCACATGCTTGGAGCTGTGGAATGTGCACTTTAGGAATTATCAGCCTGTACTTGGCTGGAACCCGTCGAATCTTATCATATCCTCTTTCCTTTGTTTAACAACACATTTATTAGGTACTGAAAAAATGCACGTTGGCCTCAGACTGTGTCAGTACAAAACATTCTGCCTTTTAAAGAAGACTACAGGAAGACCAATGTTACAGCATCATACTTCTGGATGGCAAGATGTCTGTGCTGTTGTTTATTTCCTTACACTATCAGAGTTTAGCACTCCTCTCACCCTTCAATACTTCCTCATGTTATTCAAGCAATGGCCAAAGTCTGCAGTGCTGACTATAATGTTATATGGCTTCTCCGTTGGCCACGGAATCTTTCATTCCAAATCTGAATTGTTCCTAAACATGGAGGATAAACTTAAAGGATCTCCTCGCTCAATCTCCAGTAACACGATCATTGATTCCCTCCATTCACAATTGTATGATTCCTGCTGATGTTTAATACTAGGAATTATACATAGTTCATAATTCGATTTAAAAGCGACTTTGCTGGCCTGGGTGACAGTTGCTGTGCTGCTTCAAAATAAATATTTCTTTTTCTCTGCATCAAACTTAGGTAGTGTAAATTAAACACAATCTGGGTGATGCACCCAACCTTGGTTGACCACTTAGCCCCATTGTAATTTGATTGAGGACCATCTATTTGTTACGGGCTGTCAGGAATATTCACTTTTATTAATTCCTAGGTAAATCTACCTGTCTCCCTCCTTTCCGAAGAAGGTGGTGCATAGATATTTTCTGAACCCCCTCCCTCCCTCACTCCCCAAACAATTAAGCGACCTTCTCCCTCCTTAGATATAGTCCGGGCCCCCATGTCTCATCTCGCTCGGGATATGTTTTGCTTAAAGTAACATTGTAGGTTTGACACATTCTGAGACGGTGCATTCTTTGTCCCTGTTTCACCACTTCATATCCTGAGATATGCTAATACTGAGATTGGAGAGTTTTCAGACAGACAGCAGCTTCCTGTCCCATTCTGCCTCCACCTCACGCTAGCATATCCACTCATTGTTCACTGCTTAACTGATTTTGACAGACTCCTGTTGATTCTGTATCATTCCCTAATTCATGTAAACTCAACCAATCTATGCTCTCTCCTACAACCCTTTACCCTCCCCCCTTGCCTCTTCTCTCTCTCCCTCATGCCAAACACACATTGAAAGCATTCCACCAAGATAATGCTGTTTAAAACTTGAGGTCCATCAACTTATCTTCTAAATTCAGTGCATTTTCCTTTATTCATTCTTCCAAGCATTGGACCTTTGGAATGGAGCAAACTGATTGAATATGGCTTGAATATTCTGGCCTAAATGATTCAGATTCACATCCTCATACTATTAATTGATATTGATGTTTGCAATCTTGTGTAATATCTGCAGTAGCTACTAGAAAAATGATTTGTGTCCATTATAATAATCCTAGATCAGCATATTCTAATTAATTTTAATCACAATTCCTTTCTGCTTATATGCCTGCCTTGGGATTTCACAATCCCTTTCTGCTAATCTAAAAAGCAAAATAAATCTCTGTAACAATTTACAATGCCAGACAGAGTATTTGGGATTTAAAAATATGGTCAAATACTCCATTGCCTCACCTCAGACTCTGGTCTCTATCATTTCTCAGTCACTGAATATCCTGCTAACAATGGCCAATCCAACAACAGCTAAAACAGATTTGTGGCCATTCATCTCACTGTCTATCTTGGGGAAAAATAAACTGATTTATCCCTGTGCTCTCGTATTACATGGCTCTGTGACAAGCATATTATTGAGTCTGACGTTATAAAGATATTTAAGCACATTGTGATACAGGAGACAGATCTTCACTCTTGTGATTTTCCACATAAATCACAATCTCCCTTCCTACAGCCTAGGATCTACATAGACATTAAAAGGAGTTGGTGCACTGAAGGTCAGAATCCATGAAAACCATTTGTTCACCTTCTCCTTCCTTCAAAACTGCAAAGAGCACTGTCTAAATGTGTCCATTCCTTTACTCTTAGAAACATAGAACCAAGAGTAGGCCATTCTGCCCCTCGAGCCTGTTGCTTACAATCTTCTTCATTGTTAGTACCTATCCCTATTTCCGTGTTATATGCAAACTTAGAAATTGTGCAACTGAGAAAGCTCAGTCCCTCAATCAAGCTTGTGTCTACCTCATTGACATGGATGCTCACAATACACTATTCTTCCTGATCCTCTGACATCAATTCCATCTAATTCCATCATTCGTCAATTGCACATCTTCATTCTTGAGGAAGGCTTCGCTTTCGTAGGTTACTGAGGACATAGCTGTTCTTCTGTTCATGCCTCTGCCTTCCCAATGTGTCACTATTGACAAGAACATTCTGGCCAGGGGAAAGGAAACATAGGTTGCAAAACTCTTCATGGCTCAGTATATCAATTGTTGGTATATCGATGGAGGTCAGAAGGAGGCACAGAAGATGGAATGTGATGGGCAGGGCTGCTTGATCTCCTCTCTTACTCCGGGTAAAGCTTCTCCAACAAACAGAGGGATTCAGAGAGAACTTAAAGCACACATCAGCTGCACAGACAGTAGTGATGATGCAATACCTTGTCCTGGAAAGCGTTGGGGCTCCAGGTTGAACTCATCAGCAACAGATTTGTACAGGAAAATTGTCGGTCTGTGTGAGCGAGTTTTCTAACCATTTTCTCCAATTTTCTTCAGTATCACTTGCCAGTATCGCAGCAGCCCGATGAGTATAGACACAATGTTTTCTCATGGGTGCAGTTGATGCTATATCTCTCGGGAACTGTACATCAGAGGCTACTATACCTAAGTGAGTGGCTTTTGCTTTAAGGGGCGAGAGGAATACATGATGTGCCACATGTCTCAATACTCAAAGGGTTAATCTACAAGGGTTGAATGGTGTTTACCTGACTCTACCATATTAGAGGCTGTATTCCTCCATTAACTCTCAGATCCAAACAATAAGGCAGAAGAATCACATCATTATTATTCTTGCGATGCCTCCTTCAGTCTATTCCCTGTGTTCTTACACTGCAAGACTCCAATCATTAATTGGAGAATGTGACAGTGACAGACGCACACTCTAAGAACACTCTCATTTCTCTTTGATTCCCTGCTCTCATGGATCCCTGCAGTTCTCCCATTTTGGGCTTCTGTTCCTTGATTTCTTCTCTCGAATGCATCCTTATGTCGTGGTGACAAAACCAACACTAAACAGAAACCTGCTGTGTTTATAATGCCACAGTTGGTGAACTTGCACTCTTCCTGCACTTGCTGTGCCTGTCCACGTAGCATTTTAGATCCTTAGCTCTACCCACCGTGTAGATGCTATAAAATCCAAGCTGTCATCATTTATCATAGACTCCCTATTTGATACAATTATCCTCTCAGCTATTTCGGGCAGTATCTCTGTATTCCATTCGGCATGCAGGTCATTAAGTGCTACTTTTCCTGACTTATTCAGCTTCATTCAGCTTCATGGAAGAGACCTATCTCCCTGTACAACTATTATTTGAAGTTGCGTTACAAAAAAATTAGAGTGTCAATATAAAATGAATGGAATTTTCAATTGTGAGGGTGGGAGCATCAGGTATTTTAATGTGAGATACATTAAATAATGAGGTGTGCAACACAGAAGGTGATAAATAAAATCCTTGTTGTCTTCAATCCGATATCCCTTTTGACTGAAAGCTTAACTCGTTTCTTTCCATCATAAAATAGATGTTATTCTACAGCTGAGACAATAACTAGAAGATGCTGTTTTTTAAGATATCTTGTATCTCGTGTTTCCAGCAATAGATTTGTTTTTAATGATGAACTCTCTGTCATCTCTCGGCTCTTCACTCTTCCTGAATCATCAATTCTTCTGAACATCCCCATCTCTCGAGGGAATGCTCTTTAATCTGTACACCCCACGTCACCTTACACCGTCTCGTCCTTGCTCCTACTTTCCTCAATCTGCATTTTTTGGGGGTTACTATCCTTGATCTCTTCCCCTACCCATCATCGCTTCATCACCTCCCAGACTGATCACAAGACTTATCATCTCTCTCTCCAACTTTTCTGACCTGCAATTCTCATTGCTGAACACCGCAATCCATCTCCCTGTCATCTGCCTCGATAGTTGCTGAGCATGGTTAGCGCTATCTCTCGGTCAACCATTTAACCATTTGCCTCCTTATTAAAGAACACAACACTAAACACAGGCCCTCGGCTTTGTGGCCAGCTACATGCTGCAAGCAGATGTGGCCTCTCTTATCTTTTTCCTCTCACTTCTAAGGGGAAGAGCTATCGTCTGACTGAAGGCTGAAATCTTAGAGGAAGATGCAGGCAGCAGGAGCAGCAACAGCAGCAGGAAGCAACAGTGTGACTAAGCAAGCTCCAATTCAGGGAGAGACAGAAGAAGAAGTGGACGTACTGTAGAAACTGGCCATTACGTAGTTTTGGCAGCGATCACCAGTAAATTCATTTGGGCACCTGACAAGACAAATAAAAATGAGAGAAAGAGAGGAGAAAGAAGATCAGTCAGGAAAGAGCAAACCTCTGCACTGAGCCTGATAACCTTGGTGTGGTCGCTGATTGTTTCACTTCACCTGCAAATTTACCCTCGATATTCACCATCTCATTGGCTTCCATTGAGAAGGAGAACATCAGGGAGAAAATATACATTTATCCCCTGCATTTTCCAGCCATGAAAATTCAACCCAATGAGCTCTGCGGCAGCACTTCTCAATCCACGCTGCAATCTGATTAAACGTTGCAGGAAGCTTGCTGTCAATTAATATACTTTCACAGTTTGTGAATATTTCTATCATTCCACTTGGGATTATTTCACAATATAAATGGATGGGAAATATCCTACTCCATAAGTGTGAAATATCATGAAAAGAACATGCGTCAGATTATAAAGGAAAGCTAAGAAGTAAAATTCAACCTGGGATAGCGTTAGATTTATTCCATTCATGTTGCATTTCAGAGTGTACAGGATTTGGATAATTTTTGAATTCAGACTTAGCTTTGAAGCCCTTATTTCTGTAGTTCTTAAAAGAATGCAGGAAAAAAAAGTTTCTAAATACCGTCCTTGAGAGTTTGCCAAATTCTGCACGCTCTTAAAATAAGAGTAAATCTAGACCCAGGTTTTCCAGGAGTCTGAGAAAGTTTGGTTTCAGTGTTTCAATGTACTTCTTGAAAATGCCAGATTTTTAAACCTTTCAAGCAGAAAGACTCATACACCGATGTCAGTTTTGCTGTCGGGATCCTTAGCCTTTGTCAATCATAAACACAGGAGGAACTGTGTCTTTGGAATTTGTTTTACAGAAACAGCATGAAACGTTACAAGATTAAGCTCTCTGTTTAGGGGGCTGGGGGAGGGGGACGAAGAGGGGGAGGAGCAGAGGGATAATTGGGGAGGATTTCAATGGCTGAAAAGACAGTTTAAGGTATTTGAACAAAATTGTTGCTATGCTATGTATTTTGTTCAAACAAAGATTAATATTAGGAATAGCAGGCTGTCGACCTGCTTACATTTTAAATTGAAACGTGTTTTTTTAAAGAAATACAAATCCCCCCTTATCAGCGACTGCACCAAGGAATCCTTTTCTGAGCTGTAGGGAGAGGAGAAAAAAAAGGCGTTATTATATCTTCACATACGTTCAGGTATAAAGACTCTCATGGGTACAGTGATCCTACATCTTTCTCCAGTGAATCCATCTTCGCACCTGGAGGGCAGAAAGGGGACATAAAACAAACAGAACAAAACACATGTGGAGATCTATTCATTTAACAGTTATCAGCACTCACTCCTTGGTGATCACAACAGACCCACCTCCTGTGAAGCTGTTTCCGAAAATCAGCTGCGTGCCCGATGGCAATATTTAATAGGCCCCTGTTATTCCCCTACCATGAATGAAATTACCATTACCTTCATCGGAGAGAGCCTGATGCTATGTATTGACAATGGACTGAAGTAGGAAACACATGGAATCTCACATGCACGTGCTTCACAGCTCCAGTCAGGGAGCAATGAATGGGAATAGTCACCAGAAATCTATTTGCTTGAGTGTGGGGTTTTTCAATGATCTATATTAATTAAAACGGCACTGGAAAGATTATTACACAGCAAAACCTCCCCTTCTATCTTCTCTTTTAAAAATCTGATAATAATAATCTTTAAAGTGATGTAGCTCCTTTTCATGCCTTCGAGACATTTCAAAGCGCTTCACGGGAACATACCTTAAAGTGAATTGACTGTATATTTTGTGGGCTTTAAAAAAGCCTGCTCACATCGCATTGCAAGCTGGACAGAGAATTTGGTATTTCTGATTACCTTTTACACAGCAATAAATCCTTTCCATAAAAGCAACAGCACCAGACCATGCAAGATGCTGCACTTAAATAGATATTCATTCTGGTAACATGATGTGGTGCATTTACACGTACAAATAACAATAGGGAGAATCTTAAAGAGAGGTATTTTGTTCCTGGATACAAAGAAAGAAAGCTTTCAATTGAGAGTTATGGGATTGTGTTACCAGGAAGATTACATAACTAATATCTCATTTAATGATTGATATCCTGCACACAGAGCTGCCATTGAGTCATTAAATCATAAAGGTACTTCATGTGCCCTATTCCAGCAGCAGCTAAATGCCTGATAGCAACCAGAGTCAGCTATTTGGTAGCGATGTTTTTGGTTAGCCTTAGAAGATTGTGCTGTGAAACCAAATGGTCAGCAGTCTAATGATCAAATTTATCACTGGTGTTAGGATTCCTTTGGGTGGTGTGGGTGGGGTGCGGGGGAGAGGAGAATGGAAAACACTCCATTTAAGAATTTAATGATTCGGTTAAGGGTGAACTACGATTTAAAGGGCAGAAATGAATGCAACAACAACAATAAGTTGCATTTACATTTCTAAGTGTCTCAGAGTGGCAGAGTTCGGTGAGGTGCAGGGTCTGAGGTGGACATTGGCATTGGCAATTGCATGAGGCATTGGTCCAATCCTTGAGGGATACAGCAGACAGCACCAGTTGGGCAAAGTCAAGGGAAGAAATAAGTTTGATGCTCGAATGGACTTTTTTCATGCTTTTTTTTAAACATAACTTCTTGAAATGAATCTATTGGTTGAGGAAATAACACTCAGATAATGGTTCACCTTTGCCATTTGAACAAGAGCCTTTTGTGATTTCTGTATTTCGTACAGTCCAGTCCGGAAAAATGTACTTCTGACCCAAGCAGTATTCTGATCCAAGCACAACATTTCTTGGTACCTTATTCACGCACTTATCAGCATCCAACTGCATTCTAAGATGCGTCAGTGTGACAGAATCATCCCAATGCACTGCGCCACTGATAAGATTATGAAATTGCTGTGTTTTCATTCGGGGAAATGGACATTTATTTTCTTTTCGAGGGAAAGGATCACACGCATCCATTAAATATGATGTGGAGCTCCTTCCTCCATTGCTCCGACGTACGTAATGGTCACATTTTAACCCCCTGTTGAATCAGTGTGGCATTTGCCGTTTGCTTAAATTCCATGATCATAGTTTCTCAGTTCGATTCTTCCACCCATAGGGAAGATAACAACAACTTGCATTTATATATTGCCCTTCACCCGAGGTGGCATCCTGGAGCGCTTGACAGTGGTGGAATCTGACCCTGAGCCAGGGGGAGAGGGAAAAGGGATGTGACCGTAAGCACGAGCAAAAAAGGAAGGACTTTAGGCAAGATTTAAAAGTGGGGAGGGAGGGGGCAAGGCGGAAGGATTGAGGGTGAGAGTTCCAGAGTTTCGAAGCGTAGTGGCTGAAGACACAGCTACCGATGGTGGAGCAGAGGGACGAGGGACAAACAGAAAGCTGGAGCCAGCCGAGTAGAAGCAGCGGGTGGTGGAGTGTGGGGTAAGCAAATCGGATAGGTAGTTAGTTGTGAGGGAATTAAGTGATTTGAAAGGATCTTGAAATCGAAGACTATCGAAACTGACGAGCCAAGATGAGTTTTGCACGCACATGAAAGAACTCTACCAAGCTCTGCATCAGCCTAATGAAGCAGCTAAAATATCTCACAGGTCAATGCATTTTGGAATTGCTTGTGAATTCTGAAACCACATCATATCACCAGCATGTTTCCGCTTAATAACAATGGGCAATTTCTAAGGCCACCCACAGTGAGATTCTGGCAGTTCATTTTGGTCCTTTGTTTAAAGACTTGCAGCATTTGCTGTGACTTATTGAATGTTTGGCTGCTGCTGTGATGCTCAGATTTGGAGAGATAACCCATAAATAGGTAGGTTAGTTAGAAGCATGAAGCTCCACTCAGTCTTAGGCTGTAAAACCATTTTATCTTAATCTCGGAACTGTGGAAAATTCTGTCTTAATTTGCTAGTTCAGCAGTTCTTCCAAACTGAGTCTTAATTTGTGTGTCAGTCTGGCTCAGTTGGTGGCACTCTCGCTTCTGAGTCAGAAGGTTGTGAGTTTATGCTCCATGCTGGGCCTGTGCTGTATTGTTGGGAGGTACCGTCTTTCAGATGAGCTCTTAAACCTGTCTGCCTGTTAAGGTGGATGTTAAAGATCCCATGGCACTATTCTAAAACGGAAGGGAATTTCTTCCAGTGACCTGCCAACAATCGCCCAAATAAAATAATTGGGGTTTCACTACATGGCTGTTTGTGGGACACTACTCAGCGCAAAAAAGTTTCTGCGTTCACTCACAAAATACACAGTGACTTCACTTTACAGCATATCCTGTGGAGCGCTTTGGGACATCCTCCTGAGGTAAAAGTGGAAATCCTCACCAAACGTAAGGATTATTTATTATTTATTAGTGTAACAATACTCCATTATTCTTTTTGATCTTAAATTTTAAAACAACAGTCTTACAGGCCAAGATAAGGTGGGAAATGTGGGCCTGCAAGTTTATCTAAACCATCCCATATGTGTTGCATTTTTTTAGATGCATTTTTGTTTCATTGCTGTTATGTAATTTGCATTAATTAAGAATAAATATGGGGAGAAATTTCACCTTTTCTTAGCATTTCAGAATATGCAGAATTTGGCAAATTGTTGAATTGAGCCTTAATTTTCCACCTGGTTAGACAAACCTACAGCAAGCCCATCTTTAAAATAAAGACTGAATTTAGGATGCTTTGAAATGCTACAAATTATTGAGTAAATCTAGATTGTATGGAACAATTAATTATAAACCATTGAGAGTTTATACTCGCATGTTATTTCTGAATATTGCTGGGTTCTTTACAAGTGTATTTGTAACTATTGTTTCATTACAACATTGTCAAGACCTTGTAATCTTTTGGGTTCATCCTCTACAAATCTATTCTTCAACTCTCGTTAGATCACAGAAAGATCAGCATCAAAACGAGTGCAGAAGGCTTATCACAGCATTGTGAGAGCAGCGAGCACACTCAGAGTATACCATGTTGACACTGGTTTTAAGTGTGCTCTCTCTATAAACACAGGTTCAGTGTGACAAATGATTGTTTCAGATTGAAAATTGGGTTACAGACCCGAAGGATATGATTTTAAATTCTACTTATTGTACGGTTTAACTGTTACACTGGGTCAAAGAGGACACAGGAGAAATGGGTTAGTGAAGGGAGAAATTAAATTATTTGATAAAGAGGGATCATTAATTGGGAGGGGAAAGAAACTCGCTGTGCAAGACCCAAAATGTAAATGTCATTCAGTCTGTTGATCAAATCTGAGCAACACTTGTCGCTTGCCAGAAGCCTCTATAGTTTGATTTAACTGTGATCATTCGCTCATTTTTAATCAAATAATAATCCAAAGTGGTCTTTTCTTCTGAACTTACAAAACAAATCACTTTGCCAGCATGGGTACACTATGTGCCGAATGTGCATATGACTGTTGGAAGTTTTGGATTGTACTTTGAGTGGAAGGTTAATGAGAAATAAAACTAGAACAAGGAAACCTGACAAGATTCAGTATGGGCATGGGAAATGGACAACAATAAAATTACATTTGTATAACACCTATCATGTCGGGAGGACGTCCCAAGGCGTTGGACAGTTAGGGATTTGTACCCGAGCTGGGGGTTAGGATGAGGCGGGGCATAGGGCAGGGAGGGTAGGAGTACAGTACAAGGATATAGTATGGACATAGGAAATGGACAAGGGACATGGGAATCTGACAAGGAGACAGTGGGAAATGGATAAAGGAAACAATGCAGATATCAAACAATTGTAAGTACATTGCTTTTGTTCATATCGTTTCAAGGACAGTTACATAAGCATGTGAACCGTCCTGGAGTCAGAAACACCGGATCTTTTAAAGGCAGTCAATATAAGCTTGCCCCAAGTTATATTATGCATACGTAAAGTACTGTACATAGATTTATAAACAATTGTATATACACACATGCAACTTAGTCGTGTAAGTCCTATTGCGTGTAAACCAATCGCAGGTTAACTTTTGAGAAAACTAGGCAGGTTAGACATAAACTCAACCACACAGCAGACCAATAGAACCAGGCTTTCCACTTAAGTGTTAGGAGTTACCTAGAAGGATTGAAGCAAATCTAGAAATGATTAATCACAGGTCAATCATGCAAGTGGCAGATTCTAGCATCTATGTAAATTGTTTTGTTAGCATCCCTTAAATATGTAATCAGCTTGTGATGAAGGTTTGCGTACTGAATTATTTCTACCCACGCTCCCCCCACCCCATCTCCCCACCGCTCCCCATCCCATGAGTGAGAGACTAAGGCATAACACAGGACATCACAGGCATCTGAACGGGAATAAGGAAGTGTCCTGAACCCATGGTGGAAATCACTCTCTCCGCAATCATGAAGTAATTGAGCTTTAGTGAAGCTCAAGCTTTTGGAAGTGAATCTTGGGATTTACAGTGTTAAGCAATAAGACAACCCACAACTTTATGTATTTAACTGTATAGATTTTCTCCCCCCAGATAATCACATTTTTAAAGAAATAACTAGTTTTATTAAATGAGACCAGAATCAAAGCATGCAACCATATGGGTAGGTGGAGGTCACAGGTGACCTTGGGTTTATCTAAGTGATTGTTGCTGCTGTGAAATTGATCTATTTTATCTATTTCAGGCACGCAGGGAGAAAAATTCTAGCCGGGTCTAGATTTACTCTATTTATAGAGCATTTTAGAGCAACCAGAGTTTGGCAAAAATGTTGAATTCAGTCTTAATTTTGATATAGTTTTTTCTCTGCAATTCTTAAATGGCTTGACATTTCAGGCTGTAGTTAACAGTTTGCCGAATTCTGGATTCTCCTGATGCTCTCTCTCTCACAGACCGTTGTCAGGAGCAAGCTGTGCAAGGTTAGGCATGGTTAGACTGAAAAATAGGTTAGGATAGAGGCAGTTCCCCAGCGGGGGAGGTGTCAGGTGCAATGTTGGGGGGTATGAGAAGCACCGAGGACCATAGTTGCAGCATAAGTCAAATGAAGCGAGTTGGTGCACTGAATAGACCCAACAAATGACTATACGATTAAGTTCTTAAAACTGAGAATGACAATTGCTCTCTTTGAATGAAGCATTGCACTACATAATTACTTCAATTTTGTACGGATAATAAATTATGTTTAACTCGGTTGCAGTTTTTTTTAAAGCACCTGCTTTACAAAATGAAACTACATTTCTTACTGGCTTATAATTATTATTATTATTATTATGGCACTTTCGTTCTGAAAGGAAGGTTAATATTTTTTTCCTTTAAACCAAATTAAAATCACATTTTCTATTCACGGACCTTAGTGTTACAATATACCATTAAATGAATAACCTTATTTTGCTTATAGAACATTGAAGAACAAGTCATAATTTTATGACTGAATGCTTTTTTAGATGCTTCGGGGCTGAAGTAATTATGCAACACTTATCAAAAGAGGAGCTATTCCTTGTGACAGGTTTGAAGATCAACCATTTAAATGCATTGCCTTCATGTTAAGCATGGAGCTGCATTTGAACATTTAGCATGGGCATAAGTGACGTGCTCTAACAGTGTTGATAACGTTCGTTAAACACAAACTCTTGACACTGAATAGAATAACATGCGCGCCCTCGAAGCCAATATGCAGAACTGAGGGGATGAATTCACTTACTTGCAGGAGATTTTATTAATACGGTCGATAATGAAACATTGTCCTCCGTTCACACAGTAGAGCTTCTCACTGTCGTTGCAAGGCCTGCCATGGCCTGACCCAGGCGTGGGGGGAGACGACCCAGGCATGGGAGGAGATTTGGTAACTGCTGGTGGGAAGAACAGCGACAATAAAGATGAGAGATTAGTATTATTAAACACATTAGTAAAACACCATTACTAACTAACAGCTTTGTCAGCAGTCTAGTGCAAGGAAAGAGCTCTTAGTATTTTTGAACCAGGGCTAAATCTTTTTTGTTGCCATTTGAAAATATCATATATCAGGATGTGTGGGGATTAATAATAATATAATAATCCTTGCATTTGATATAGCGCCTTATCACATCTTCGAGATGTCTCAAAGAGCTTCACAGAATATACTGTAAAGTGAATTGACAGTATATTTTTGTGGGTGAAACACAGCAGCAAACAGCATAGCAAACAGTCGCAGATTGAAGTGACCAATTTTTTTTGAAGGAACTATTACTCTGGAATAATTTATTACCGTAAATATTATCCTGAAAGTCAATATTCAACCACTGGAAGTAATCAGTTTTACTTTTAAATCAGTAAAAGCTAGGAGCTCTTTTTATCCCAAACACCAGGAAATAGATCTATAGGAAAATTATATAATAATAATCCTTGCATTTGATCTAACATCTTATTGTTCCTTCAAAACATCTGAAAGCATTTCACAGGATCTACAGCAGTGACTGCGTGGTTTAAGGTCACCATTGCATTCAAGCATTTTGCCCAAAAGATTTTGCACAAAATATACCCAGGATTAACCTTCACAATTCTGAGCTGCATCAGATAGCTTTCCTCTTGTTGCTAAGAACATTATGTTGGAGATAAGGGGGGGGTTACACCCATAACCACACAGATGATATCTTTCATTAATTTTCTCATATCAACAAAAAATATTTTCCATCACACAAAATCTGTTATTGTTCCTACAAACAAGGAAACATTAAATAACATTATTACTAGTTTCTCTAATTGTCAGCGAACCATTTTCAACTATCTTTCAATCCCACCTGAAAACCTATCTCTTTGGCTGTGAGTATAGTCACCTCCTACCCCTCTCCCATGACCATGGTCCAACATGTCACTATGCAGCGCTCTGAGACATTTCCTATGTGAATGGCGCTATATAAATGCAAGTTATTGTTGGATGTGTATCCTTACAGCGCTCTAACAAAAGTCTAACAGAAACTCAAGTCACATTGACTCCAACCTTCAAAATCTCTCTACACAGTAACAGTAATTCTGCACAGGGTAACCATTGGTTGCATTGCACACTGCACATGCCTGATAAAAAAAAAGCCCAATTTAATGTTTCACAGCAGTTTCACAGCTTCTGTTAGTGTAGTTCTCAACCACATAGCAGCCTGTGTTCTCCCCGACCACCAGCTGGCAAATTCGTGAAAAAAAACCCAAGCAACCGGAATTTAACTCTTTGACTGCCACTAAGGCAGAACTTCACCATGTCCATGGTCCACCTTACTAACGAGAACAAAGTTGTCCAGTCTATTGACGTTCCATAATTCACACAGAACAGCAGAGCGGACATAGCTCAGCACCAACAAAGATTGAATATAACCATCACACTGAGGTCTCTAACAACACCAACTTGCATTTATGTAGCACTCTTCATGCAGGGTAGCGTCCCAGAGCGCTTGGTGGGATGTAAAGACCATCCTCCCATTCTCCCTGCATCCCTAAATCAACAAATAAATAATAATTTGGTTACTCAATTCATGACTGTTTGTGGGACATTGCTGTGCGCAATTGGCTGCTGCATTTGGTCCACAAAACACATAGTCAATTCATTTTACAGTATATTCTGTATTATTGAGACGTCTCGAAGACTTGATAAGACGTTATTTCAAATGGAAGGATTTTTATTATTATTATCCCACTTAGTTCAAGGAACTGTATTCTGGGATGACTGGAAATGACTCCTTTAAAGGTCACTTTTTGGGTGAGGAGGGGAAGCAGATGGAAGGAAGACTAAAACAAATGCAAAGTTGCATTCCATTTCTCACAGTGCCATACACGCATTTCCTGAGGAGCAGCCCAATACCAAAGTCACATTATTCACTCTAAAAGTGATAAGTATTCCCACCAACTTGTGGCACATTCATGATTATGTTTCTTTGCACATCAGAGGGACTCCCTTTCACTCCCATGTGCTTACGCCACAGGCACATAAGGGTTAGTACGAAAAAACACCAGCTTCCGAAAACAATCACATTTTGCGATAATATAATACAGTAAACAAATATATTAATAATTATAATATATTTGATATATATAGCGCCTTAACACATTTTTGGGTGGTCTCAAAGCTTTTCACAGAATATACTGTAAAGTGAATTGACTGCATACTTTGTGGGCATTTGAATATATTGTTCCTTTCATTTCAGAAGGATGTCTGAAAATCACTAAACAATACTAGGTAGGGGGTGCAGCGGGGAAAGATGACCGATAGTGCAGTCAAAGTGTGACCCAAAAAACCATCTTGTGACAAAAAACACAGCTCAGAGTTTCGTCAATAAGAGTGAGTAAATTGGTAACTAACCTCACCAAATCAACAAGGCTTTGTTGCCCAATAAAAGCTTTCAGGGATCATGTGCAAATATCATTAAAGTGAAGGTTAAAAAGTAAATCTGAACCGAAAAAGATTCTTTGTGAACGTTTACCTCTTTTCAATCAATATTCAGCCATAACACATGCTTTTGTTGTCTTACCTGAGAGGAAGCTGTTCAAAAGCCTGGAAGCGTGAAGATGCATTGCCTGTCTGATTTCCTACCTAACACAATCACTAAGTTTACCCCTGTAAGCTCTCTGCACTGAAACTGCTTCAAGCTCACATCTGCTCCTGTGCTTCTCAATGCTCCGGGACTCTTGACTTTTCTCCCTCAAATATATTTGCTAAAGACGACATTGCACCATCAAAGAACTAATTTATCCCCGCGCCATTCGACAGGTAAGACCTCATCCCGAAACAAAGAGGCCAAAGAGGAGCAAAAACACACTCAAATGAAAATAATGTATTTGCCTGCAGATGGATCTCAGGTCACAGACAAGTACGCAAGCCACATCAAAACACACGCTCCGCCACAGTTCCCAGGAGCCACGCTGAATTAAGGAATGGAAATCAGGCTACGGAAAATGTTATCACAGTGAATCAATGCAGTCATCAAACAAAGCCTGAAATCTTCAAGTCAACCAGAGAACGCCAAGTGTGTCTCCTCATACTAATGACTCCATTTTCCACAAGTAGGGAAAAGAAATGCAATCAGTTCGGGGTCAGCCATCCGCAACCTGCCTAAGCGTACTGCGCTCCACTTGGGATATGTTCAGGTGATCGCTGTTATGCGAGCGCTTATAGTTCTGTGATGACTGTGCTTCGTGAGCCAGGCTTTCAACTTGGTTTCTTAATGCTCCTGCCTGTGCAACACACTTATCTGGAGTCCTCCAGCCATCTGGGATGAGTGTGCTTGGGTTTTAGTCCTGTGGTCTCATTTAAAGACTGGGAGAACGTCCAGCAGCACGGTCGACTTAACAACATCCTGTGTAAGCCTAGACCTTGATCCTTGGACACATCAGCACTTTTTTAAACAACCTAATAGTAAAGGAGGAGGGAACAGTTTGACCTTTCGGATTGTGCAGCTTGTATTAATGCAGCCTTTATGTTCCAGAATCCTTGTACTTTATTTGTAACAATGCAGTGAGTACAAATACATTAGTTGAACTTAACCCCTCTGCCTTTTATTATCCCTACTCCCTGTTTAATAAGGCATATTACACTATACCAATAATGACTGGCATTTGTATTGCCCCTTTCACGTAAACATATACACTTCAAATACGCTCTCACTTCTTTAGGACTCTCCACATCGCTCAGCCTCTCCCAAGTCTCGGTCAATGCCTTATTTTATGTGAGTGATAAAGAGGTGTGTGAGTGCGGTTTTGCTCTCCCCAAGGTGAGGGAACCACAGACCCACCGCACTGCACAACAAGAGGAATTGTGGAAGCCCAAAGTCACCTCTCTCACCCTAGTTGCTCCACATTCTTCTTCTTTCTGTATCACCATCACTGCATTTCTCCATTTTCTCTATCCTTTCTACATCCCTGCTGCTTTTGCCTTTAGTGTATCTTGTAATCTGCACTTTTCTCATAGATGTGAGAAAGCATGACAATAATAATCCTTTCAATTGATGCATTGCCTTATCATGTTGTCAAGACATCTCAAAGCACTTCACAGGATTTTACAATGCAGCACTCCATCTGGACTGGAGTGTTAGCCTAGAATGTGCGTTCAAGTCTCCAGCGCTGGACTATATCATGTGAAGATCATAATATAGGAACATGGGGTGAAGTAATACTAAAATATGAGGTGATGAGTACAGCTTAAAAGCTAAGAAGACCTGTGCATTGCCACCTACAACACTGCTTTTCACTTACATCACAATGTCACCATATATCTATTGTGCCATTTGCTTAAAAATAAATCAATTAAAATATATACTTGATGAGAAGACCTCTATTTTCTCTGTACTATCGCACAATTGCATCTGGTCCACATTCATCATTCTGCACCTCAATTGTGTTTAAAGCAAATGACAGGAGAATTGGTCCTTTCCTACTTGCAGTAGGAAGTGAGAGGCAAACCATACAGTAGTGGGAATATTAATATACTGTCATTGCTTTATTGTACGTTAGGTGCCACGATAACCTCTGCCTTTGTGCTGTCCATTTACTCCTAACAGCAGTACATAAGCTTCTAAGTGCATATTAGTGATGTTTTACTTAAACAACAACAACTTGCATTTAGATAGGAACCTGTCAATAACTCACATACTCAGATTTCCTTAATCACAACAGCCATGGTGCTATTTTAATGCTTTCACATTTGGATCCTGCTTAAGATAAGCAGCCTCTCAATTCTTAACAATACTTAGTTTAGGCCATTTCCTCTCCCTGGACACAATTATGTTGTGAAATCACAAAAAGAAGATTTTTGTTGAAAGATTTTGCTGAATTTTGAGCTCACCGAGGTGAGGGATGGTAGCCCTGAGGAACTGAATACTTTTCTAATTCA